CAGCTCCTCCGGCGGAGCTGTTCCCAGGCGGACCCCAGAGGAGGAACTGAGGCTGGGCGCTCACCCCCGTCTGAGCCAAACAAATCCACAGCCAGAGACTGGAACATGGTGCCAAGAGGGGTCCCAAGTTTACCTGCTCAGCTCCCTGCCCCCCACCCCCGTGGGGCCCCCGCCAGAACGGAATCTGTGGGTCAGGTGCAGCCGGGTGGGGAGAACCTGCGTGTTCCCCAACTGCGCGTGGCACGGTCCCCAGCAGCGTCCCCCCAAACCTACGTGAGCTGTGAGAGCCCTCGCTCTCCCAGACTTGCAGGGGGGACTTATTTCTTAATTTCATTCACCGATTTTACAGAGAAACACGGACCTGCTGGGACACCCATTCACGAGTGGCTTCTTGTCGGAGTCCTGACCTGGGATGGACCCCAAAACTTAGGCGTATAGTGATGACGCTCTACCCAACCGAGCCAGGGCCGTAGGGGAATTTCGAAGGAGTCAGAGCGCCAGGGCGCCCAGACGGAAGTGGACTGGCTGGGAAGAGGGAGCCCAGCCCCTGCCGCCCACGTGGGAGCCGGTCGGGCCGGTTTCTGCGGCCCCAGGAAGCCGCCCCCAGCGCCTGACCCTTCACCCCACCCCTCCCCCACCAGGGAAGAACACCAGACAGTCGACTTTGCAGTTAAATGGTCTTTATTTTCGTATCTGGTCTCTCTAGCAAAAGGCCAGACAGACAGAGTTAAACAGAACCCACCAGAGTAAATAGGCCCTCGAACGCACTGGCTAGAATCTCCCTCCCCAAGCCGGCCCGGTCTCAGCAGCACCTGGGCCCAGCTCGGCCTCACAGAACCGCGGGCACCCCTTCCCCCACTCGTGTGACTCAGACCAAGGTCTTCTGGGTTGATGGTCTGTGCCCGAGGGAGGGTCACGCTTCAGACCGTGCGCACATCCCCACCTCGAACGCACCGAACGAGTAAAAAATTTAGCCTGAAATGAGATCCGTTCCCCCTGCCCCGAAGGCACAGGGGTGCGGGCAGAAGCGCGGGGGCTGCGCCCCAGGCGGCCCACCTCCCAGGCCCCACACCCACGCGAGGCGACAGGAAGCGCCCCACGCCTGCCCGTGACGCAACGATGACCGCTTGCATAAGCATGTCCCCCGAGGGAAAGAGGGCGCCTGGGCGCCGCTGGGAACGAGGACACCGACTACCGCAACACCTCGAAAGGGCAGCACAGCCCCCGGTGAAAATAAAGTCCGACCCCGAGGAGTGTCAGGAACCAGACCGCCCTCACCCAGTCCCGGGGGACGGGAAGGCCACGTCCCCGTCGGTTAAGCCGGCACCTGTGGGCGCGGCCGGGCTCGGAGGAAGGCGCCCCCGCCCCGGCTCAGGTTCCTTGGCGCCGCCACTGCACACGGTGGCGACAGCTTCTCGGGCCGCGGCTCCTCTCCACCGTTTCCGCGGGCCTGCCCCGCGGGGGCGGCCTGGCTTCGGGTCTGTGTACTCGGGCCGACGCTCCGGCCCGCGCTCTGGACTCCGGCAGCGGCGCTCGGGGGCCTCAGAAGGCCACCACGGCCCGGACGAGCACGTTCAGCACGCTGTCCGCCGAGCGGCAGGCCGGCTTCGCCTCGCAGGCCGGCGGCGGAGGCGCTGTCGGGGGCGCGGAGGGGCTGCAGTTCAGGAGGCCGGAGAAGCGCCTCTGCAGGACGCGCGCCAGATTGGGGAAGGCGCCTTCCGCTTGCGCGGGAGGGGCCTGCAGGCGCTCGGGGACCTCCGCAGACTCCCCTTCCTCCGCGCCCTCCTCGTCTAGACGGGCTTTCTTGCTCGGGACCAGTCCGGCATCCCCGCCGTCGCTGAGGCTGCTGCTCCGCCGCTTGCGGCTGACTTTGGCGGGTCTCGGGGCACAGCGGGCAGGGGTCTCCTCGGCTTTCGGCGCCTCCTGAGTGTCCATGGGCTCCGGGCAGGGCTGCTCACCGTCGGTGGACGCTGCTTCCGCTGCGGTTTGTGCTTCCCGCGGAGGGTGCAGGCGAGGGTCGGGGGAGCGGGCGACTGGCGAGGGCACCTCGGGCGGCTCGTGGGCTTCCACCTTGGCCGAGAGGTAAAGCTCTCGGGCGCTACGCATGACCAGAGACAGCTGCAGGCTCCGGTGCAGCCGCAGCCCTCCGCGCTGCATGCGCGAATGGTACATTTTCCACACCGACAGGGTCATAATGCGTTGCGCCTCCTTCTGCACCTCCATGGCGACTCGACGGTGGGGACTTCCCTGCTGAGCAGACGCACTTCGGACTGCGCGCTGGCTCACGCTTTCTCTGCTCACGCCAACCAGCGCCGAAACACCCCTAGAACGCTCTGCCCCGGCGCCCGCCACCTGGGCCCATTTGTACCCGGAGCTACGTCACCAGGACGCCCCGCCCAATCAGAGAGCTGCATCGGGCTTTCCACCGCGTTGGGGCCAGAGACTTCAGCCTTAAAGCGACAGGGTGGAATTTACCGGACAGACAAAAGGGACACTAGCCCGGACGCGGGGGAGCCTTCCCCGGGACCCTGAGCACTTGGGGTGGTCTCCTTTCTCTGCCCTCGCCGCCTCAGTGCGCCCGCGCGCAGCCCCCGGGGAGCGGGGCCGAGGGTGAGGCTCAGGGCCCACCCACGTGCTAGAGTTCGCTGGCCCCCGCAGGTCGTAGGCGGCTGGTTTTCCTTCGCTCCGGGGAATACCCGGGTTTGAGCCCGTACATCCCCCGTGGGCACAGTTCCAGGCGTTCATTAGTGTTTCTTGAACCAATAACAATGCTAACACTAACTGGTTAATACACAACTAACTGATTAATACGTGCCAGACGCTGTTAAAGGCTTTCCTTTCATAAAGATCTCCTGGATCCCTCACGGACGGTACTGCTGTAGTACTTGATTTCTTCACGTGGGGAAACCGAGGCTGACGGACTAGTCCAATATTTGCTAAACGAATAAATGGGCCAACTGCAGCGAAAGGAGGCCTTCGCCTCTATAGCATCTAACCCACGCCAGCCCTCCTCACTTCCCCTGCCCGTAAGCGGAACAGGGTAAGCTGGCTGGTTCGGGGCTAAGTTGCCAGCTGCACTGGCGGCGGAAGCCTGCAGATCTGAGCGCATCCCAGGCTGCCATCTCTGCTCTCCGCACTGAACATCCTCCCGGTTTCCTTCGGCACAAGCTCCACGCAAGGTGGAGGGCCCGGCCACACGACATCCGGTTGAACTCATGGTTGCGGCCCCTAAACCACCGGGCCGCGCTCTGCCTCTGCACCCGGAGGCGCGGTTGGGGTAGGAGTTGAACACCGAGCAACGCAGAGAGAGGGCAGATAGAGAACATCGACCCTACCCTCCGCCACGCGCTGCCTCTCCTAGAAAACCTACTCCCAGTTCCTCCCCTCCAAAAAGCTGCAACATTGTTTGAATGGCTCCATTCATTCGTGGTACGGGCACTTTAAGGGGAGGCTCCGCCCGCTCGACTGGAGCGCAGAGCCTTCCCGCCACAGGGTCCGCGCGACATCCAGACTAAATTTGGAAGGAATGACGTAGGGCAGGTGGCCGAGCCACTTCCGGCTGCCCATATAAGGACAGGGGCCGGGCTCTCGGTACTGGGCCATAGCCGGCTTTTTCCGGCCGGGCGTGGGCGGGGCCTGGCCTCCAGACACGCCCTCTTCCTTTCCCCTCTCCTGGCTGGGGCTGTCGGGAGCCCCCGGCTTCCGGACCGGCGTCCAGTGGGGCCGAAGGGGAAGGTTTCGCTTCCTTCCCGGGAGGCCAGGAAGGCGTGACGCCCCTCCGGGAATGCCCCCTGGGCGGGTTGGGGTGATCTCAGGGCGCCCACTGACGCCATCTCCCACAAAGACCTTGCCTGCACTCGGGGCGGCCCGGCGAGGGCCCCTTTATCCCCGTCTCCCCAGTTATTTCTCCCCACAGGCCCCCTCCCAGGTATTACTGCTCCCCCCACCCCCAATTAATGATCTCATGCACCCACGGAGGACGCTCAGGTCCCGCCCCTGCACCTGGGGGCTCAACAATCCCTAAAAGACCCCGAACAGCAACCGTCCCCATTCAGCGGCCTTTCCTGCCACACGCTGCGCTGACCGGCTGAGAATGTCCCCCCACGCCGGCACCTCAGAGACCCACAATGACATCCCCAACCCAGGTACTAACGCCAAAACCCCACACAGGGGCTCGGACACAGGGGCGACCCTCCGAGGACTTCTTCAGGGATCCCGCCCACCGCCCAGAGGGAGATCAGGACGTCATTCAGGCGATGGCTTCCCCGCACCCCCCAAAAAGTGCTTTCATGGCCCCACAAGGAACGCCCCTGCGTGACAGAGACTTTGAAAATTCCTCCCCAAACATTCCTGGTCTCTCCCCAGACGGAGACCCCGCACGCAGAGGACTGCTCTGCTCCGGAAACAATCCTCAGAGCCACCCCCGCACCCTCCCGCGACTCCCAGGCTCGCACCCAGTAAGACCCCATCCCCCCAGGAGCATCTCGGGGCGTCCACTAGCGGTCATTCCGCCCCATGGGGACCTCGATGTGCTCCTCCTCAGCAGGAAAAAAAGAGGAGAGTGAGTAGAACTACCCACAGAACGCCCGCACATCCGCCCGCCCGCAGGAAGGCGGGGACGACCGCCTTTCCCCCAGCCCTTCCCAAACCTGCCACTCCCGACCCCGGGCTGGGACATCTCCCCGCACAGGATGCGGGTGCAGGCTCCAGGAGCCCGTTAAAAGGGTCTACGAATCGAGCGAGCCCCTTCCCCAGCCACAATCTCGTCTGATTTCTGGGAGCTTATTATTTTTTATTTAAAAAAATATATATTTTTATTGATTTCAGAGAGGGAAAGATAGAAACATCAATGATAAGAGAGAATCATGGGTCGGCTGCCCCCTGCATGGCCCCCGCTGGGGATCAAGCCCGCAACCCAGGCATGTGCCCTTGAGGAAATTCGAACCTGGGACCCTGCAGTCCGCAGGCCGAAGCTCTATCCACTGAGCCAAACCAACTAGGGCTGAGAGCTTATTATTATTTATGTTGCCGGGAAGGGAAACTGAGGTTGCGCAGCAACAATTCAAGGGGCTGGGTCTCGAACCCCGAGATGCCGAGTTCAGACTCCAGCCTGGTCAGGCGGAACTACGGAACGGCTGGGAGCGGCGGGAGCGGCGGACGCGAAGGGCGGAGGCACGCGCACGGAAAGCCGCCTCTGCCCACAGCCAAGATGGCCGCGGCGGCGGCGGGAGCTCTGCACTTCCGGCTTTTGGGGCCTCTCTCTCTCCTCGTGGCCCGGCTCTCGATGGTGGCTTGGGTCACGTGACGGGGGCGGGGGGTGGTGGCGCGTTCTCCCCCGCCGCGAGGAAACCAGCTCTCCAGGCCCGGAGGGGAGGGGGCTCGGTCTCCCACGGGGGGCGGTGACATGTCTCTCGAAGACCCGTTTTTTGTAGTCCGAGGGTGAGTGACAGCGATGGGGGCGGGCAGG